GGATGTCCCAGATCTGGGGGACAGAGATGCCACCACCCCAAGGGACATCGGGGACAGGGATGTCCCAGATCTGGGGGACAGAGATGCCACCAACCTTAGGGACGCTGGGGACAGGGATGTCCCAGATCTGGGGGACAGAGATGCCACCACCCCAAGGGACGTTGGGGACAAGGATGTCCCAGATCTGGGGGACAGAGATGCCACCACCCCAAGGGACGTTGGGGACAGGGATGTCCCAGATCTGGGGGACAGAGATGCCACCGCCCCAAGGGACGTTGGGGACAGCGATGTCCCCACCCCAAGGTACATTGGGGACAGGGATGTCCCAGTTCTGGGGGACAGAGATGCCACCAACCTTAGGGACGCTGGGGACAGGGATGTCCCAGTTCTTGGGGACAGAGATGCCACCACCCCAAGGGACGTTGCGGACAGGGATGTCCCACCCCAAGTGGTCAAGGACGTTGGGGACAAAGCCACTGGGGACAGGGATGTCCCCACACTGATGGACATTGGGGACAGAGATGCCACCACCCCAAGGGACGTTGGGGACAGGGATGTCTCCCCCCACGTGGACAAGGACGTTGGGGACAAAGCCATTGGGGACAGGGATATCCCCACGCTGATGGACATCGGGGACAGAGATGCCACCACCCCAAGGGATGTTGGGGACAGGGGTGTCCCAACCCTTGGGGACAGGGATGTCACCACACCGAGGGACATTGGGGACAGGGATGTCCCGGTTCTTGGGGACAAGGACATTGGGGACAGGAAGGCCACTACCCTGAGGGACATTGGGGACAGAGATGTTGGGGACAGGGATGTCCCAGTTGTTGGGGACAAAGCTATTGGGGACACAGATGTCACCACCCCAAGAGACCTTGGGGACAGGAATGTCCCACCCCATCTGGTCGAGGACATTGGGGACAGGGATGTCCCCACTCTAAGGGATGTTGGGGACAGGGATGTCCCAGTTCTTGGGGAGAAGGGTGCTGAGGACAGGGATGTCCTCACCCTGAGGGACACTGGGGACAAGGATGTCCCAGCCCATGTGGACAAGGACGTTGGGGACAGGGGTGTCACCGTGCTGAGGGGCGTTGGGGACACGGATGATGTCCAACCCCATCTGGTCAAGGACCTTGGGGACAGGGATGTCACCACGCTGAGGGACACTGGGGACATCACAGCCTTGAGGGACGTTGGGGACAGGGATGTCGCACCCCATCTGGTCAAGGACATTGGGGACAAGGTTGTCACCATGCTGAGGGATGTTGGGGACAAGGATGTCCCAGTTCTTGGGGACAAGGACGTTGGGAACGGAGATGCCACCACAGTAAGGGACATTGGGGACAGAGATGTCCCAGCCCAGCTGGTCAAGGACGTTGGGGACAAGGACGTCGCAGCTCTAGGGGACATTGGGGACAGGGATGTCTCCACCCTGAGGGAAGTTGGGGACAGGGATGTCCCAGTTCTTGGGGACAGAGATGCCACCACACCAAGGGACCTTGGGGACAAGGATGTCCCAGTTCTGGGGGACAAAGCCACTGGGGACAGGGATGTCATCACGCTGAGGGACATTGGGGTCAAGGATGTCCCACCCCATCTGGTGGAGGATGTTGGGGACAGAGGTGTCCCTACCCTGAGGGACGTTGGCGACAGGGATGTCCCAGTTCTTGGGGACAAGGACAGTGGGGACAGGGATGTCCTGATGCTGAGGGACATTGGGGACAAGGATGTCCCACCACATCTGGTCGAGGACGTTGGGGACAGGGATGTCCCCACCCCAAGGGACGTTGGGGACAAGGATGTCCAACCCCATCTGGTCAAGGATGTTGGGGACAAGGACGTCGCAGCTCTAGGGGACATTGGGGACAGGGATGTCCCCACCCTGAGGGACACTGGGGATGTCACAGCCTTGAGGGACCTTGGGGACAGGGATGTCCCAGATTTTGGGGACAGAGATGCCACCACCCCAAGGGACCTTGGGGACAGGGATGTCCCAGATCTGGGGGACAAAGCCGTTGGGGACAGAGATGTCCCCACCCCAAGGGATGTTGGTGACGTCACCGCCCTGGGGGACGTTGGGGACCTCGGGGCCACCTGCGCCGCTGGTGGCATCACCATCACGGTGACGGCCCCGCCCGGGGAGGAGGCGGGCGCTGGGGACGTCCTCGGCGATGACATCACCGCTGATGTCACCGCCGCCCTCCCCGGGGAACGCCCCCCTGGTGACGTCACGGCGGGGGGGGGGGGGGCG